GGCGTCTGGGACGCAGGGAGGGGCCTCACCTGGCCTCCGTCTCGGGTTGCGCTTCGGAAACTCATCACCTGGCGCCTTCCCCGGAGGCCTGAGGAGCCGAGTCTGGGACTCGCCTCCCTGCTTGCCAGTGGCTTCCTGGGGTCAGTCACTGGGGTCCTCCCGGCTGGTGCGCAGCCTAGCCCGTGGGGGGCTCTCCCGTCTGTCCCGCCCACCTGGAGCTGCCGCCTGTACCCCACCAGGAAGCAACTCCAGGGGCTGCCTCCCCCTCCGCGGGCGTTGGCTGGTCCCAGGAGCGCCAGCGTGTCTGGGCCTGGGAGTTCGCCCTGCCCCTCCTCTTGCCCCCCGCTCTGCTGTGGCAGCTGTGGCTGCCTCCTAGCCCAGACTGGCCTTGGGAGCCAGGCAGTGCCTGCCGCGGAGGGTGGGGTCCCGGGATAGGCCATCTCCCATGCTCCACTCCCAAAATAGCCCCTTTCAAGCAGTCGGCAGTGTTTGACCAGGAATGCCTGGCTGTTCCAGGGTGGTGGGACCCTGCAGTTTCTTTTCCCCAAGGGTGCTGGAGAGCAGGTAGGTGGGGCAGTCCCCAGGCAGTCCTGGCTATGGAAGGAGGAGGCCTGGCAGCACCCGACCTCTGGGAAAGGAGGGGAGGCAACCTCTTAGGGGTACTAGGAGAGTTTTTGTTTTTTTTTTTTTTTGCATGCTCCAGGTTTGAGCAAGTCCTATGGCTTTCCCAAGCCTTAGTTTGCACATTAGTAAAATGGACATAAAGGAGAATCTAGATGATAACGGGCCCTTCCTAATTGCTGGCTTCCTTCTCTCCCACTCGGTGATGTGGTTGTGTGTGCTTTGGAGGGAATCATGAGCTTGCTGGGGCATGTTTTGGGGCTTAAAGAATGAGTCTCCTTCCCTCAGACCCCTCCCCATTTGCCTCTGTCCATTGCAGGTACCCGAAGTCCCCACCTCCTGCTTTCTGTGTGGAGTTAAGTGACATTGCCCTTGGCTCCAGGGCAGGGAGGGGAGAGATTAAGTGGTGACGCCCTCCATGATCTCATATGTTTCTGTAAGGAGCAAACCCATTTCAAAGCTGAAGGAACTGAGGCTCAGGGAAGTGCGGATGTAGTAGGCACTGAACTTGCATGAGGCAGAGCTTCCCCAAGACTCCAGGCCTGGGAACAGCAAGAGACAGGTCCTGGGGTGGTGGTCACAGGTTATGGAGGGAAGACCAGGGGTGTGTCTGGTGTCCGGGGTGTAGGCACACCATTATTCAGGTCTGGGACCCCACCAGCCTCACGGAATCGGGGGTAAACTTGGCTCTTGCCATCAGCTCTGACCTGCTGCTCTCCCTCCAGGGTCACAGTAGGGTGAGCACACGAGGCACATGCCCCCAGGCCTGCAGCTTCCCTGGTCTCACGCTGCACTGTTGGTACCCCAGGCCTCTGCACCACGCCTGACCTTGAACTGGGGCTCTGCCGCTCTTCTTGGGAATCCATAAGCATTCCGCCTCAGCCTCTGCCCAAGGAGTTTCCTGACTTCCGGCTGCCTGGACTGGTGGCCTCACCTTTGTCCCTTGGTCCCTTTCTTTCTCTCTCTTTTTTTAAGATTTACTTATTCTTACTGGAAAGGCAGCTATAGACAAGGGAGTGATGGAAAGATCTTCTGTCTACTGGTTCACTGTGCAAGTGGCCTCAGTGGCCACAGCTGAGCTGATCCAAAGCCAGGAGCCAGGAACTTTTTCCAGGTCTCCCATGAAGGTACAGGGTCCCAAGGCATTGGGCTGTCCCTAACTGCTTTTCCATGCTACAGGCAGGGAGCTGGATGGAAAGTGGAGCAGCCAGGACACAAACTAGAGGCCATATGGGATCCTGGCGCCTGTAAGGTGAGGACTTCAGCCACTAGGCTACCTCGCCGGTCCTTTTCTTTCTAAGTGTTCTGGGGTCATGCTGCCTCAGACTCCTTTGGGGGAAGGCCAGCATTGTGGTCCATGGATTAGTCCACACCTTGTGGTGCCAGTATCCCATATCGGAATGCCCGGTTCTGGCTGCCTGCTTTCCATTCAGCTCCCTGCCATGCACCTGCCCAGACCCTTGCCACCCACATGGGAAATCCAGAATGAGTTTTTGGCTTCAACCTGGACCAGCCCTGGCTGCTGCGTCTCTTTGTGGAGTGAACCAACAGGTGGAAGATCTCTTCATCCCTCCCCCTAGTAAATCTTTAAAGAAAACATGGATTCAGGTTCCGATAATGTTAATTCATGTTGTTAAGAGGGGAGAGAGGATCTATTCATTGAAAGTATCTACAGTGAAAGATAATATTTCTATATTTTTAAATTTTATTTGAGTAACAGTAAACTCCCAGACATCGATTCATTCTTTGAATGCCTGAGGTGGCTGGAACTGGGCCAGGTCAAAGCCGTTCACTGGGAACTTGATCCAGGTCTTGTACCTGGCTGGCAGGGACCCAACTTCTTGAGCCATCACCTGCATCCCAGGGCCTGCATTGGTAGGCAACTAGGGAGCTGGAGCTGGTAGTAAACCCCGCTAACTACAGTATGGAATGTGGGCACCTTAATCAGTGTCTGAACTACTAGGCCAAATGCCTGCCCGTGTGTGTGTGTGTGTGTGTGTGTGTGTGTGTGTTTCTTCCTTTCTTTTGAGAGAGCCAGCTCCCATCCTGCAATGCCTGGGACTGGAAACTCCATTCCTGTCTCCCCTGTAGGAACCCGGTCGCTTGAACCATTGCCATCACCTCCCAGGGTCTGTGCTGACACAGAGGTGGAATCAGGCAGGAATTGAACCCAGGATCTCTCATAGAGGTTGTAGGCATCTTAACTGGTACCTTAACTGTGGGCTAAACACCCACCTGGTGTAAATATCGAAACCGTACTCTTTACTGAGCGAGCTTTGACTGTGTGTGGCACTGATAATGGGAATCTCTGGAGACCAAATTGGGTCTTTCTGGTTAGAATTCATGCATCTGGCAGAGGAGGCAACTGAGTGACAAGGAAGCTGAGAAGTAGCAAGGCTGTGGGTGGTGGCAAGGCTGCAACCCAGTACCAAGGGGCGGAAGAGCCAGTGGGCCTACTGCCTCATACCAGCAGGTGTCTGAGTTGGAGTGTTTGGGAGCAGACACAGATCTGAGACCCCTGGACCTGACGTGAGGATGAAAGAGAGGAGAGGGTTGCTGGGAGAAGCTGCTGTTACACTGCTGACCACTGCGGGCGCTCTGGGAGGAAGGGCCAAGCCCTGAGAAGGGCAGTTCCTGGCTGCCGAGGTGCAGGTTGCTGGCCAGGACTAGCCTGATATCCCCAAACCATGCTGGCTGTGGCATCTCGATGAGCAGAGAACTTGGGCATCCTGGCAGGTTGTGGCCCAGAGGGCAGGAGGGTGGCCGGGGCAGCTCAGGGAACCTCTGGGAGAAGGACACAGAGCGAAGAACTCCGAGGAGCACCTCAGCCAGGGAGGTCTGCAGGTGCAGGAGATACAGCCCTGGCAGCCCAGGGAGGGCCACGTGGCCTCCAGGGGTCAGAGGTCACCGCTATGCGCACTCCTTTTGGGCAGCCCCTCCTGGAGTGATCCAGGACAAACCACTGTGTGACCTCTGCATTTTGTGGAAGGGGTGTGGTGGGCTCTGGGAGACAGCATGGAATTCAAATCCCCCTGCTTTCCTTTGGGAGCCACAACCGAGCTTGTCCATCTGTGAAATGGGAATGCTGATAGATTCTTACTGGCATTGCAGATGGCAGCCTAACCTGCTGCACCACAGTGCTGGCCCCAGGTCCCTAATTCAAAGTGGAAAAAACTGAGCCCCAGGGAGGATGAATGGATGAATGACTGACTGCGTAGCTAGGCTCCGATCAGTGGCTTATTTCTCCTGCACCATGCATGGAGATGCTTAGAAAGCAATCCCAACAGCTTCCACTTGTGGAATTTGTCAAGTGCTTTTTGCTCCCAGAGCCTGTCCTGGTGAGGCTTCTTTGGCCAATAAGGAGGCTGTAGTCCAGAGTGGCAGCCACCCTGTAGCCAGGTGTACCTGGGGCCTCTTTGGAGATGTGGTCACTGTGGTCATTGAGGCCGTTTCCCCGCCAGGCTGGGGGTGGCCAGAACCCAGACCCATTCAGAGGCAGCCCCAGGGCTAAGCTGTAGCGCTGGTATCCCAGACCCCATCCAGCTGGGGCAGCGGAAGGGGCCCAGGGCATCCTGCCTAGCCGTGACTCCTGGGTGGGAGGCCTTCACGGGAGAGTGAAGCAGGTTCTCAGCTCTAACTCAGCCTGGGCATATGGTCTGTCCCCAGCTAACTCCCACAGCAGGTCATCTGTAAAATTGCAAAGTGAAAATAGTGCAGTCATTACCCACCCTGGGGCCAAAAATAACTGGCAACGGAACTGGGCTGTGGAGTCAGCCTGTATGTGCCGGGCAGTGCGCCTGGGAAGAACGTAGAGCCCCAGGCAAGCGGCTGCAGCACCGCCTCCTGTCCAGGTGGCTGCGAGGCAGGCAGGGCAGGTTGGGTCAGGAGGCCTCTGTGTGTGTATCTCAGTTGAGCGTCCCAGTGCTGGCTTCTGCGGAGAGGATGTGGCCACAGAGGCCCCAGGGAGGGTGGCAGGGGTGGATCACGTGCCCAGATATGCAGCAGAGGGGACAGGTTCCCTCAAGGAAAAGAAGTGATGGGGTGAGGATGGGACAAGGAGGAGGACGTGACCAAGACCAGACAGCATAGGGGGCCCCTCTGCACCTGAGTCCAGACCAATGTGAATGGGGTGGGTCCTTCAGGGGCAGGTACCAGAGGTAGCTGCTGGATGGCTCATGAGGCACAGGATGAAAAGCAGCAGGTTTACACTCCAGAAAGGTGCGGCATCTGAAGCTGTAGTGCTGCGAGTGAAGCCGCTACCTGTAATGCTAGCACCTCATGTCCCAGGTTCAAGTCTCAGCTGCTCCACTTCTGACCCAGCTCTCTGCTTGTGCCAATTCATGCTTGGGCCCCTGTCATCCACATGGGTGACCCAGATGCGGCTTTGAGCTCCTGGCTTTGTATTGGCTCAGCCTTGTGAGCATGCTTTGTGTGTGTTCTTTTCTCTCATTACTCCAGTTGTTATCTTACCAAGGCCCCCAACGGCCCTGTTGGGGAGGGACCATGCTGTCATCTTGTAGGTGAGAAAGCAGACCCAGGGAGGTGGCTAACTGACTGGGCTCATGAAGCCACTGGGATGCCAGATCGATGCCCTTGCTTCTAGCCACTTGGCTGGACTGCCTCTGAAAAGGCTGTGGGAGGGACTGGAGTGTGGGGCTCTGAGCCCATGCAGAGTAGAAAGTATTTGTGGGTAGAAGCAGCCACAGGAGGCCGGGAGCTGGACAGCGAGCATCACCTGCCCCAGCAAGAGTTCCAGTGTGTGTGTGTGTGTGTGTGTGTGTGTCAGGTGTCGTGGGAGACACAGTCCCAGCAGAGATCACCTGTAGGGGATAGGAGCTGCGTGACCTAGCCCAGCTCCCAAGCCTCCCTAGCAGTCCCTCTGGAGGGCTTTGGACAGACAGTGTCTGAGGCTGACCAGGGGCTAATAGGCCCTAGGGAGGGTCAGGCCAGGGCAGGAGGAAGTGCAGAAAAATGCCAGGCATCTGAGAGGTCAGGAAGCCTGGAGGCTGTTTGGGGTAGTAGCAAAGGGAACACCAGTGACCTTGGATGCTTTGGCCATTTGGATCAGAAGGAGCGGAAGTGGCTTTGGAAGGGGGCCAGAAATGGGCTGAGCAGGAAGAAACGGGAGAGTGGGGACATACAGGCGGCGGAGGGATGAACAGGAGAGAGGGGACATGCCAGACGTCAGAAGGAGGATGTTTGCTGCAGGGCAGGAATGGGTAGAGATGAGCAAGGCCAACTGCCATTGATTGGCATTGCCTGCAGGGGACCATGTGTTGAGAAACAATCAGAGGCAAACAGAGCTGTGATCGATTAGCAATGTCTGCTCAGGACCTGGGGTGATGGCGCCTGTTGGGACCTCCGCAACCTTTCCAGCTTCCGCTGGTTTCAGGTTGTGCCGGTCTGAGACTCTTGGCCTTGGGTGTCAGGAAGACCTGATTCCAAGCTCCAGGCTCTTCTCCCTGGTGTTTGACCCAGATTAAGCCTCATGGAAAGGCAGTGTGGTTCCAATGTTCAAGACTTGGATCTTTTGAACTTCAGTGGCCTCATCTGTGAAATGGGAGTGAAGGTGCCACTTGCAAGGTGTCTGCAGGTATCCGAGTGGCGATCCCAGCGACAGCTCTGTCACTGGTGTGTGCTTGTCGTGTGTTAGTGCAGATGTACCCCAGTACTCATGGATCAGGGTCCCTATTGCCCCAGCACAGCACGGGGTAAGCCCCTGGGACCTGCTGGGTTTGGGGGAGGGTAGCAGATGCTTAACTGGGGCAGGCTTGTGGTTGATGGGATGAGCGGTGGACCACGTTGGGTTTTGGGATCATCTCATGTCAGGTGGAGGCCTGCAGATGATGCTGAGTTGGGATGGGTGGGCTCAGTCCTTTGCACGGCAAACACTCACCAAGCACTCAGCACTCGCCACGTGCCAGGCTCCTGGGACAGCTGGCCTCCGCCTTGTCGCCCCCTCAGCTCTTGGGGGGGGGGTGCAGCTGTCCATCTCCATCTGACCTCCCCTGCTCACGTACACTCTCACTTTACTTGTAGGAAACGGGTTCAGAGAGTGACAGCAGTTTGTTCACACGCTGCCCCTGGCTGTGGAGGAGGGAGGCAGAACCCCCAGAGGCCTAGGGCTGTGAGACAGGAGCTAGGAGGTGCAGCAAGTTCTGAGACTGGGCAGTGGGGCCTGTGGTGCCCCCTGCCCCAGCTCCAAGCTTCCCCTCCTGACAGTGCAGGAAGCCCGTGGCCCTGCCGGAACTGGGCAAGGCCCCATTCTTCAGCTTTTCTTGGATAGAGACCTCTCTCAGGCAGCAGTCTAGACGTCTGTTCCTGTAGGGAACAGGGGCCGATGGGATCCCTGGGAACTGTCCTCCTGGTGCCGCCTGGTGCTCCCAGCTGAGTGATGGCCGTGACAGCACCTTGTCCAGACCCCCGTGAGGACTGCGTCTCCTCCCACAACCCTGGGCTGCCTTGGGTGGGATGGGGTCATAGTGCCTCCCCAATCCCTTTGAGGACTGCTGAAAAGGTCATAGGTCACAGTTTCTTAAAACAGAATGTTCTGGAGAATGTTAAGCCTCTATTAAAAGTCACAACAATGGCAGTGGAGAGGGCCCCGGTGCCCCTCACTGGGTTTTGCTGGGGACAGCAGCTGGGCGCTGGGCTGGGTGAGGTCCCTACCCAGCAGGGCCGAAGATGTGTCCTATCCCATTCTCCCACGCAGAGCTGCCCGAGAACTGGACGGATACACGGGAGACGCTGCTGGAGGGCATGCTGTTCAGCCTCAAGTACCTGGGCATGACCCTGGTGGAGCAGCCCAAGGGTGAGGAGCTGTCAGCCGCTGCTGTCAAGAGGATTGTGGCCACGGTGAGCCCCCAGAGCAGAACGGGGCAGGAGCCGTGAGCCCCTGAACCTGGTCCTTCCCTGGAGTCCTGGGGTGTCAGGCAGAAGGGAGCCTTTCTTGGGGGTGGGGGAGGGCCAGTGCTCTTCCCTCCCACCCCTGGCAGCCCCCCTCCCCCCTGCTCAGCCTTAGCAGTGTTGTCACTCAGCTATTTGCACAGTGGCCTGAGAGATGACGAAACTCATCAGAGAGCAGGTTGTCCTTCCCCGGCTCCTCCGCGTGAGCCTGGGCGCTTCAAACTACCTCCCGTGATGGTCTCACAGCCCACGGGCAGGTGCAAGGGGTAAGGTGGAGAGTTCCAAGAGTCACCCTGTGGATGTTTGCAGCCGCTCAGTGCTTCCAGCTGTGTGAATTCAGGCACATCCCTGAGCTCAGGGTTCATTTCCTGCGGCACCACAGCCTCCTGAACCGAGGCCCTGGGGGTGGGTCCTGAGAGAGTTGCCTCTGACCACCCCCCCACCCTATCTGCTCCAAGGCCAAGGCCAGTGGGAAGAAGCTGCAGAAAGTGACTCTCAAGGTATCGCCTCGGGGCATCATCCTGACTGACCACCTCACTGACCAGCTCATTGAGAACGTGTCCATTTACAGGTAGGCTCCTGGGGGCAGCACTGGGTAGGGCTGGGCCCTGCCACTCTCACCCCTGCCAAATGGGTTGGGACCTGGTCCTACAGCTGACGCTAGCAGGAAGCACCAGGTCGCAGTTCCTGGCTACCGTGGTATAGTTGCCTTCGTAGTAGCAGGCAGCTGGGCCCTGAGCCAAGCCTGGATGCCCTGCCTACCCCACAGGGGCTGCTGAGTCAAGCTCTGAGCTGCTGAGTCACAGCCTTTTCCTGCTGCTGGGAAGGCAGCAGCTCAGCCCTGGACATCTGCTGCCCTCCCCAGTAGGTCTCCGGCTGAGGCTGGGACCTGGGATAGAGCACCTTGTCCCAGGAGTGCAGACTCCATCTTGGGGAGCCTCAGGCTGCTTCCCCTCTCCTCCTGCCTGGTTGGATGAAGGGGTTAAGAACTAGAAGGAGGAGCCTGGGTCTCTTGTACAGATGGAGAAGCTGAGGCTGTGAGAACAGCCTGAGGTTCCGTGGGGAAGAGGTGGCTGAGCTGGGATTGGGAGCCCCAGGCCAGAGCTCAGGCCAGCAGGTCCCTCTGTTGCATGGCCAGGGCTGGGCGTGGTGACAGCTGGTGGCTTCTCTCCAGTTAAGGAGTGTGGCCCAGCCCCCGCCAATAGAAACTTCCAGCCCAGGGAGGGGTGAAAAGGAGGCCTTCCTGGGGGTGGTGCCACTTTGTTAGGTGTTGAAAGATAGCTGGTTGATGGGTACCAAGGACCCAGGAATGTTTAGGCTGTGGGCATGGGGTCCTGGCACCCTCCCTCCACACACCTGGGATTCTCGTAATGCTGACCCCTGTGATGGAAGAGGGGCTGCGTCTGCAGAGTGCCGGTCCTGTGTCTGATTTGCCGGCTCTCCTCTGCTGGACTTTGTCTGATATGTGGGGATCAGGCAAGTGAGAACGCATAGCGTGCAGAGTGTGCCCAGGGTGCCCAGGCCATGCATGGAGACTGGGGCAGACAGTGTGGACCCGCCGGTCAAAACCCCTGTCAGATCACCACACATTCCTGCCCTGACTCCCGGCTCCTCCCCTGGCCACACCCTAGAGGAACTTGCTAGTGACTCCAGGCACCTGGCCCAGTGGGCCTGGGTCTCCTCCGTCATACGGACTGGGCACAGGTGGAGGAAGCAGTGTCCTGCTTCTGCATGCTGCCACTTGGCACAGACTTTAGGGGCAGCCTGGCCAGGCCTGTCACCGTGGAGTGCCATGGTCCAAACTCAGGTCCTGGCTCTGTCCCTTACTAGCTGTGTGGTCCTGGATCTTTTTCCTCAGTATTTCCATCTCGAATGGGGGAACAGGGAACTAATGTTAGAACCCATCCCCAAGGGCAGAATTAGAAGGAAGTGATGTCTAGAAGGCCCTTGACCCATGGCCTGGTATGTACTGAACTGTTGTGGAGGGAGAGGAAGTGAGAACTGTCCCTCCCTTTATTTGTTTATTTGTTTGTTTGAAAGAATGACAGAGAGATCATCCATCTGCTGGTCTACTCTATAGATGGGAGCCATGGTCAGGGCTGGGCCAGTTGAAAGTCAAGAGGTTCATCTGGATCTCCCACATGGCAGGGGCCCAACACTTGGGCTGCTGCTGTCCCAGGCATATCAGCAGGGAGCTAGATCAGAAGTGGAGTAGCTGGGACTCAAACCAGTGCCCTTATGGAATATTGGCAGTGGTTTTACCCACTGGGCCACAGTGCTAGCCCCTGGCCTTCAGTCTTTGCCACTCCCATGGCATCCCTCCTGTCTGGACTGGGTCCCTCCCTAGGAGATGACCTGGGATTCCAGTCTTGGCGACCAAGGCCCCGTCTCTGGAAGCTCACCCCAGGGGAGAGGGACTGCAGTCTCATGCCCCCTAGCACATCCCACAGGGGGCTGAGCCAGGGCTGGTCTGACAACATGTTTGCCTCCCACTTACCTTCCAGGATCTCGTATTGCACAGCAGACAAGGTGCACGACAAAGTGTTTGCATACATCGTCCAAAGCCAACACAGCGAGAACCTTGAGTGCCATGCCTTCCTCTGCACCAAGCGTAAGATGGTCAGTGTGAGGGCAGGGGGCTGGGAGTGGGGTGGGCTCTGGCCTGGCCTTGGCAGATTGCTCTGGGGCACCGTGTCGTGCCCAGATTTTGAGATCCTCAGAAATCACCAGGAGTCTGAAGTTGATCCAAGTGCACAAGGATGGTTTATTCAAGCTCAGCACATCCGAGCCTGGGTTCTTGGTTGAGAGCAGGCAGCTGGCAGACCGACACCCCTTACCGGAGTGTGGCCCCGAACAGCACATTCATAGGGTTTGTGTAGTGGCAGTCCACAATAGCCTGCAAGGTGAGGGGAAATATCACACATTCCCTACCTATCTCAGCTGGACATGGAGGCCAGCCATGCCTCCAGCAACTAAGGGAAGCACCCACTGAATTACTTGGAGCCACCTGTGAGATAACCAGACTTAGGTGGGCCTTAATTGGAACCCATGAGTGCTAAAGGTCATATAGGCCGTTTGGCCTGCAAGCTCACACAGTTTCTTAGTAGCAATGAGCCATGAACAAATGGTGGGGATTTTGATACCGAGGCTCTTCACCTGCCTGCAGAATCCAAAGGTAACCATCACTTATATAGAAGGGAAATCTATGGGAATCACAGGTGGGTACTAGGAACTGTGTTAAGGCTAGAGCCAGGGTGGGCACGTGGCAGGGCGCCGCTGCAGCCTGCTTCTCCCACAGCACCGTCGGGGTAGAGGGTACTTAGAGGAGTCAGTGTGGGTGGTAGATGAGGGCCTTGCAGGGTCACTCCTCAGAGGTGACAGTAGAGGCACAAGAGCACCCCTCCATCCCAGTCCTGGCCCAAGGTGGGCCTGTGGGGCCAGAACAAGGAGGGAGTGACCTCTGGGGCACCTGCTCCCTGCCCGCTGCAGCCTGGGCTGTGATGTCATGGTGAATTGTCACAGTGACGCTGCCAGACCTGCCCTGTCTCAGTCCCCATTGAGCATGTTATTTTTAGGGACACTCCCTGGCTCCCGGTGACGCTGAAGGTGACTCGCAGTGCATGGGGCCGGGTAGGCCTTAGACTGCCGTTTCCTCCCTTCCCTGCACATCTCAGGGCCCAGAGCTCTTCATCCTGCTTCCCTGCTGTTAGAAACCATACTGGCTCCTGGACATTGAACTTGGCAAAGGAGCCAGGACAGGCTACATTTGCTGTTGAAATGCTTATTTCTGAGGCCCCTGAGATCACAACCTGTCCCAAGCACACATGTTCCTGGCATGTGACAGCCACTCTGATGGCCCCAGGCTTCCTCTGGTCATTGGCTGAGTGTCCTCTGGTGGCTGGGAGAAGTGGCCAGAGACTTATGGCTTACAGCAACATACGAGTTCTGCAGGTCACAAGGGCCACAGGGCTGTGGTTTTGCCAGAAGTGCTTGGAGAGAATCATTCCCCTCTGTCTTCCTGGGGCCTCCTGGGCTCCTGGCAGTGTTGTAGCTTGTCTCTGATGTCCCTCTCGATGTCAGGGCCCCTGCAGTGATAGGAGCCCCAGGGTGGTGAGATCATCCCTGTGTCAGAGCCCTGTGGTGTGGGTGGCACAGGTGACAGGGGTGGGGCACTTGGAAGGGTGGGCCCGGGTCTGAATGTGCTATGTGAGTTGAGGTGAGCTGCTCTCCTGGGCTGCTGGCCAGCCAGCCCAGTCAGTGACCAGCCCAGCAGGGTCCTCCGAGAGTTCCCATGTTCTTTGGTTCACCTGGTTTTTTTCCTGCGGACTCTTGTCACCAGCCATTCACCAGGGTCCTGCAATAGTCCGGGGGTCTCTTCTACTCTGGCCATACCTTCAGAAGACTTGCTAATGATCCCAGGGTATAATGGCTCTGGTGATGGCCTTGTCCCCAGTGACAGCGACTCTTGGCCTTGTCTCTTAGGAGGCTGCCCAGGCTTAAAATACAAACTCATCAGTCCCTCATTGTTCCTCTCTTCTTCCCCTATGATCTCAGTGCGTGCAGGGCAGGGCCTGCCGGCCCACAGCCCTCACTCCCTCCAAGTTTGGGACACTGGCTGCCAGGGGCATGGCTAGAGGTAGCAGCTTTCTTCAGCCTGGGATGAGGTGGGGCTCAGGGAGTAAGAGAAAGATAGAGATGCTCAGTGGTTCATAGGATGGCCTGGCCTGGCCAGAGGCCTGCTTACAGGCCGGAGTGCAGCCAGGGCCAGGAGGGCGGTCCCCGGGGAAGCAGCCATGCACAGCCAGGCTGTGATAGGGCCATGGGGAGGGCTCTGACTCTCCTTTGTCTTATCGCTTCTGTCTGTGGCGAGGCTCTGCTGGCTTCCCCTTTACGGGTGCCCTTGGCCACCTGCCCTCTCCCTCTGGGCCCCTGAGGCCCCCTTTCCCCCACCCGGAGACAGTTCCCTGCCCAAGGCCCTGGCTCTGCTCTCACCAGCCCTGACTGGAAGCTGACATTCTCCAGTTTGCTCGCCATTTCCAGTGAGATGAAATGGGAGCCTCGGGTTCTTCAGCCACCTGCTTGCTGACAGTTGCCTCCCAGAGGTGGGAAGGGCTGGAAGGGTCAGCTGCAAGCTGGAGGTGAGGAATTGGCAGGAGCTCAGTTGCCCCTCCACCCGGCCGTTTTGAATCATGCTTTGAAGGGCGGGTTGTAAGAAGGGGTTTGCCAGCCGGTGTGAGCGTGTAGGTTCCCAGGGCCGTGGAACAGGTGCAGCGGCTAGAAGCAACAAAGATGGCTTTATTTGCACTCAGGGCTGATGGTGGGGCTGTTCCCCCACCAGGCTGTCTGCATTCCTGGGTAGTCCTCATGTGAGAATTCTGGGCCATCAGGACTGCCAGGGGGTATGTGGCACCTGGACCCTGAGTGACCAGTCCTCCTCTGAGGGCTTAGCAGCCTGCTTAAGTGGGTGCAAGACAGAGACCCCAAACTGGACAGAGGAAGGCCTGGTCGGGGAAACCAGTGAGGCTCACAAAGCCTGGGGCACTCAGAGGTGACCCAGGCTCCTGCCTGGAGATTGGAGGAAGGAGGGGGTCAGCCTGCGCAAGTGGTCCCTCCTCCATTAAGCGCTGGTGCCAGGGTCCAGCAGCCACCCCAGGAAGTGGGCCCAGCCTCGTCCGATCCCTCCCAGTCTCTAACCTGCCTGGCTCGCAGCCACCTGCCCACATCTGGCTCTGTGGTGAGCTTTGGTTTGACTTAGATTACAGCTCAGGACACAGGGCAAAGGGGAGGGAGTAGATGCAAATAAACCAGAGTTTTATGCAAAAGCTGCTGAGACTTGTGTCCCCACATTTCCTGCAGACAAAAATAATGGTGTTTCCACGTCGCTGCCACCTTAGATGACCAGCCCTTTGTTGCATGTATAGCGATCTGACTTGGGCCGGTAATTAGCCCATATTTTTAGTTCATGGGCAATTCTCAATGGTAACCGGGTCTATTAAACTTGATTCAGACGTGACAGCTTAAATTGTAAACAGCTGTGAAGAGTTTCATACTTAATTACCATATTTAAGTTTTGCCATAAAGCACCCATGCTTCCATCAAAAATGTAAATGACGGAGACATTCAAATGAGATTTTGTACTTCGAGAAGTTTAATTGGCACAGATCAGTCAGCTTGTTTAGGGATCTTAATTTTTTTTTTTTTTTTTTTTTTTTTGGAAAAGAGTTTTCAAGGCAATGGCCACAGGATTCATTTCTCAATTAAGCTGAGTGTCGTTTGGTGGAGGAAACCTTACTGGGCCAGGGCTGGGCAGGCCTGGACTGGTGTCCTGGGCAGGGTCTGGTGCTCTCCGACCTCAGTGAGGGGTCTTGGAAGGAAGTTGATGTGTCCAACCACAGCCATGAGCCACAGGGCTTCCACTCGGTGCTAGTTCCTGGCCTGAAATGGCAGAGAAAGGAAGGTGTGGGGAGGAGTGTGGGCAGGACCTGGCCTTGGCCTGTCCTTGGTCCTGTTTCTGGGAGGTGTGGAGGGATGGATCCTGAAGAGAGAAGTGGCCAGAGCTGGAGGAGCCAGTGCTGCTGACAGGAGAGAGTCGGGGAAGTATGAATCGGAATGAGAGGGGTGGAGGGGGATCTCGGGGCAGTTCCTCCTAACACAGAGTTCCCAACGCTCCCTGAGCCCTGGCTGCTAACCAAAGCCATGTCTGCTCTCACTGTGGCCCAGTGGCCCAGTGACCCAGTGACGGACCCCTCCATGCCTGCATGGTCCTAGCCAGGGTCTGGTCTTGCAGCCCTGTCTCTTTTCAAGTCTGGCTTTTCTGTTTTCCAACAACAACAAAAGGTGATGGGGCTAAGGTAGTGTGTTAAGTCCCCAGGTGATTAGGAAGAGCTTCGGGAAGGAAGCAAGCCCTCTCCCTCCCCCCTCCACCGCCAGTTTGTGGAATTTGGGGAAAGCTGGAGGGGTAGGGGAGTGTGGAGGTGAGCAGCCATTGGAATGAGGAAAGCTGGCCAGACAGTGGTGGGTGGCAGAGATGGGGCCCCAGCGCTCTCTACGCGGGAGTGGCTGCCCTAGCCTGGGGGCTGTGGTGAGCTGGGACTGGGAGAGTGAGGGTCTGGGAGGGGGGCTGCCTGGGGTGGAGCCAGCAGGAGCAGCAGGGCCTGCTCCCAGGCTTCCAGTTCTGACATACCCCTCCCTGTTCCCTCTTTCTGTCTGGCAGGCGCAGGCTGTCACCCTGACTGTAGCCCAGGCCTTCAAAGTCGCCTTCGAGTTTTGGCAGGTGTCTAAGGAAGGTGAGTATGTTTCATGAACTGAGAGAGGGCAGGGGGGGCAGGTCAAGACCCTGGAGTTGGACCTGGCCTACCTCCTGGTGTAGTCCCCTGTCTGACCTGAGATTTTGAGTGTGGCCCCGTGTGAACCTCATTTTTCCCCTTGGAGGAATGGCAGCAGCTGTGCGATGCTGCCTGTCCACGCTGGGGATGGTCCAGTGGCTTCTGCAAAGTTTCCTGATGTGGGCCTCTGCCTGGTGACTGCTGGAAACATCGTGCCAGGGCCTGAGGCTCTTGCGTGTTGTACTTTGGTCCCACAGAGAAAGAGAAGAGGGAGAAAGCCAGCCAGGAGGCGGCAGACATCCTGGGGGCACGCCGGGAGAGCGCCCCCTCGTCGCTGAAGAACCGTGAGTTCTGGGCTCTTTGCTGGGATTGCGGAGGGACCGCAGAACAGGAGCTGACCACGGCAGCTCGGGACCTTGGCCTCATCCCCAGGGCCCCGCTTTCCTGTGCCTGCGGCAGACTCCTGGCTTTTAACACATATCTGCCGTAGGTGTGTTAGTACGGACTAGATGGGTAGGGCTGGGAGTACGGATCCCTCAAGTTGCTGCAAAGCCTTTCAGCTGTATCCCTGTGCAAATACCTGAACTCAGCTGCCCCACCTCAGGGGTCAGCTCCAGGATGCCCACCGATGTAAGGCTGAAAGCGCTCTGGTGAAGGAGCTCACCCATGTCTGCTTCCGTACTGCGGATGGCCTCTGGTTACTTCCAACACCTGCTCCCAGGGTGTCAGGGAGGGAATGAGGACCGGGAAGAGCCTGTGAGTGCTCAGGACCAGGGCCGTGGCTCTCTGGAATAATTTTGGCTGAGGCTGGTTGAATCTGAGGCCATGTGGCTTGCGGTTTCGGAAGACAAGTATGTCTGCTTCTATCATCACACTCTGCGTCCTGTGCTCACTTGCCAAACGTTTTTATTTTGAAAATTTATTTCTTTGCTTGTTTGAAAGGCAGAACAACAAAGTGTGAGGGGCGTGGGCAGTCTTCCATCTACTAGTTCATTTCCCAAATAGCGACAACAGCCAGAACAGGGCCAAGTTGAAACAAGCAACCTGGAACTCCATCCGGGGCTCCCAGGCGCATGGCAGGGGCCCAGGTCCTTGGGCCACCTTCCACTGCCTTTCCAGGCACATCAGCAAGGAGCTGTATTGGAAGCAGAGCAGCACCAATATGAGATGCTGATGTCACAACTGGCAACTTAAACCCTCCGTGTCATAGCATTGGACCCTCTCTTGACAACCTTAAGTTATGAAAAATAAATGTTTCAGTCTGCACACTTGGGGGGACAGTTCTCTGTCCCGCTGCTGCACAGAAGGAACCAGGGTGTGCTTCTGGGGCCTCTGGGTGATAGGTCTGGGGAAGGATATATCTGAGAAGGGATTTAGGACCAGAGCAGCCTGGGGTGGGGGGTGTGCTCCTGGACGTGGTGGGCGTTGGGGCTGAGAGAAAGGGACTCATTGCCCACTGACACCAAACTGGACCCTGCCATAGCGGTTGCCACCGGAAACCTGCTGGACTTGGAAGAGACGGCCAAAGCCCCGCTGTCCACGGTCAGCGCCAACACCGTGCATGCAGGCGACGCTCCGCGGCCTCAGGCCTTGAGCAGCAGTGGTGTTATCTGGGTGAGTGGCTTGGGGACCCCACAGGGACCCTGGGAGCCTGGACCTGGTCCCTGGACAAGCCTCAGGCTGCTCAGAATCCAGGCCCTGGCGTAGTGACCGTCAGGCCCAGAGGCGGGGGAGAACAATGTCCCCTTTGAACCCAGGGCTGTGTCCCTGGCAGGCCTGGCTCCCGGCTCAGCTGTCTCTGCACAATGGCCGGACTCTTGGCCTGAGCATCCCTGCTGCTGCCCACCGCGACCCAGCCAAAGGCTCCCTTGTTCTCAGTGCGGCACAGTTTGCGCCTGGTCCCACTCCTCCTCAGCTGTCTGAATGGGGAGCCCAGACGTGGCCCCCAAGGCTCCCTGGGCCTCGGGCCGAGTCCCCTGGCCTCTCACCTCACTGAGGATGATGACCTTGGTACACAGCCTGCTGTGGAAACCTCAATTGTTCTATTTTTAAGGATAGGTTTATTCACTTGAAAGGCATAGTTGTAGAGAAAGAGATCTTCCATCCACTGGTTCACTCCCCCAAATAGCCACAACGCCACAGCTGGGCTCAGAATGAAGCCAGAAACCAGGAGCTTCTTCCAGGTCTCCTACCTGGGGGAAGGGGCCCCAGCACATGGGCCATCCTCTGCTGCTTTCCCAGGCCATAATGAGGAACTGGGTGGGAAGTGGAACAGCCAGGACGTTAATGGATGTCCATGCAGAATGCCAGCATTGTAAGCAGCAGCTCCATGTGCTGTGCTACAGCACCAACCCCCTGTCTTTTGAATTTTGGTTTTATGCTTGGAAGTTCCTTCCAGCTGTTAGAAAGGCAGTGCAAGAGAATTCCTGTCCGCCGTGCGCCCAGATTCCCCGAATGTCGGTCTCCCACAGCCACAGGGCAGCATCACCTGGGATGTCGGTGCCTGCGGGCTGCCATGGCGTAACCCACAGCATCTGCTGCCCTGGCTGGGACCCAGAGCAGAACAGAGCCTCCCTTGCCTTATCGCCTGCACTACTGAACAGCTGTCCAGGAACCTCCATCCCTCCTGCCTGCATCTTCCCCCTGGCCGTGAGCTTCCCGGGATCTGGTTTGACCTCTGCTGGTGGATGAGAGCAGGAAAGCCTCCTCCTGCAGTCTCTTCTCTCAGGGTCTGACACCACCAGCACCTTCATTTACCACCCCCGCCCCTCCCGGCAAAGCCGAGGCACAGAGAGGGGCTGGCCAGACAGGCAGCAGGGGTGGTGGAAGTGGGGAACTGGGGCTTGAACCCCCTTAGGCTCCAGTTCTGGGGAGGGGAGGGCAGCAGGCCTGTGGCTCCTGGCCACCGCCCTGGACCTCGCTTCCCAGAGCGAGGTACCCCTGCAACCAGAGTCCTCACCTGTGGCTTTCTTCTCCCCAAGGAACTGGATGACGGCCTGGATGAAGCATTCTCAAGGTAATGTCTGCTGGGACCCTTGTGCTTGTCCTGGCCTCTGTGCGCTGGCCTTGCCGCCCTTTCTCCCTGGGGCGCCTGTCATGAGCTGCCCAGACAACCTCTGAGTGGGAATCCTGTCTCTCCACTTGCATACCCCCAGGCACAGGGAGCTCACCCTTAAGGGGAGGGACAGGGTCAGTCCTGTCTTCTTGGAAGCTCCTGCTGTGGAGTCAAGGGCTATCCAGGTGGCTACTGTGCTGCAGTCTGAGCTGAACTCTGCACAGTCAATGATTGCCTCCTAACCCAGCAATGCCCTGGGACCTTGGCTGTTGAGGGCTCTGGGATCTGCTAGGGCAAGCATCATAAGAGAGGCACGTGGCAGGTGTTGCTTCGTAAACCCCATAAGCCAGGTGGTGCTTTCCCACTTCCCGGGGTACCACCTTGTGGCTGTGGCCACCAAGAAGGCTGCAGCCATAGGAGGTCTCCTTTCCCCCACAGGGGTCTTCAGCAGTGCCCGCCTCCCATAGTTGGGATTCTACTTGGGGTTGGGCTGTGGCCCTCCTGGGAGGAGCAGAGCCAGGGGGCTGGGCCCCTTGCCTCTCCTCCTTGTCTTCCTTGCCTAACTCCCCTTTGATCTAGCTCCAGGCAAGATGACCTGGGTGGTACAGATAGGCTTGTCCTGCCTTACCAGTTTCACTGGCTGGCTGCAATCCCCTGGCTTGAGGAAAATCTCCCATTTTGCTTTTTCCAGATTATTCAAGTGTCATGTGCCCTTTATTAGCGATTTCAAAACCCAGCAAAGCATTCAACGGAAAATAGCACCATCCCATGGTTCCCCCGCCCAGATTTCTAAGCTCAGTCCTTGCTAATCCTGTGCAAATACATGGCTGTGCATTGGTCAGCCTGGGGCTTCTGGCATCCCCTTCACATCCACGGCCCAGAGGCACCTCCCAGGAAGTACTTTGCTTGTCCACTGACCCTCGGCCTCCAGGGTGTGAGCTGGACTTGGCCTGACTCTCCCCTGTGCTTCTGCACATCCGAGACCCTTTTTCAATTCATTTTGTACTTTAAAAATTTTTGTTTATTTTCATTAGAGAGGCAGACAGAGATCTTTAATCCCCACAGATCTACTGCCCAAATGCCCACAACACCTGGGGGCTGGGCTAGGCCAAAGCCAGGAGTCCAAAATGCTACCTGAGTCTCCCAGGTAGATCGCAGGAACTCAGGTGCTGGAGCCATCTTCTGCTGCCTCTCTCCCACATGCATGTGAGCAGGAAGCTGGATCAGAAGTGGGATAAGCAGGACTTCAGCCCAGGCGTTTGGATGCGGGGGAGACATCCCAAGCAGTGACTTAAACCCTGCATGCAGCAGCCCATCCCCCTTAGGTTTAGTCTTCCCCTCCAGCCCAGCCCTTCTCTTTCCCAGCCATTCCCTGACACAGCCATGGTACAACATGGGTGCATTCAACCCTGCTTCAAGCCCTCTGCTTAGCTGGGCCATGCAGGGGAGTCTCCTGTCCCCTGACATTCTGGCCTTTGTCCTGCAGTTCTGTGTCTTGCCACCTTCCCACTCAGACCCTGCTGGGATGCCCAGCTCATATGATTCTTCCTTGCAGGCTGGCCCAGTCACGGACAAATCCTCAGGTGCTGGACACCGGCTTGACAGTGCAGGACATCCACTATGCTCAGTGCCTGTCACCTGTTGACTGGGACAAGCCTGACAGCAGCGGCCCTGAGCAGGACGATGTCTTCACTTTCTGAGAGCCCCAGGAGGACATGACCAGCCCTAAACACGTGATGGACCAAAGCTGCCACGGCAGGGGAGTCAGCTCTGATGCCAGCCGGCCCAGCCCCTCCAGTCCACAGCACCAGCAGCCCGTGGATCAAAGCCGCAGCCAGCCAAGTGGAGGGAGAGAGTTTTTTTTAACCTGCTCTTGCTCTCAGAACTGAGAGATGCCTGGAATATTTATTCAGTGACTCGCGGTTTGTGCTGGGAAGCCGGTTTTGCATCAGGCGTGGCTGCCACTGATCCCTCCCAGTGCAGGGACCAGTCCACTCTGCCCGAGCAGGCCACCCTAATCAGGGTGTCAGGACCATGACCAAAGCATTCCTTGTCCCCTCTCTTCTTTCCAAGGAACCTGAATTTCCCTGGAGGTCGGGTTCCCGTCATCTTTGAGGCACAGGAGTACACCCCCAGCCTCTACAGAGAGCTGGGACCCCTTGCCCCCAGGGCCCTTGCAGATAGAGGGAACCCCCCCACCCCCGACCAAAGATGGCCCCCCCCCCAGCCCAGCACTTTAAAAGTACGCATGGTGCTTGCACCCAGGGCTGCCTTGTGGAACTGGGTTGAACAGAGCTTTCCTTCCTGCCCTGCCTCTGGAAGAGGGGCCCCTTGCTCAGGGCCCTGGGACTCAGTGTGCCCAGTTGCCTGGCTGCCCAGCAGCCCTGGCAGGATGCCGGTCACTGCCTTCCCATTGGATGATGCTGCACCTCCTTCTCTCGTGTCTGTCATGTCCGAGCTCCCTCCCTGGGTCCAAGTGTGAAACCTCACACCTGCCTGCCTCCAGAGGGACCTCTGGCCTGTTTTACAGGTGAGGAAACTGAGGCTGCATGCATGGAAGGGGTCAGGAGTCGAGCCCCAAGCTGAAGCCAAAGCTGCCTCTTCCCACTGCCGCTGCTGCCTCTCCCTGCTCACACTGCCTTTTTTTTTTTCCCTCCCTTTTTCTTTTCTAGCTTTGTTGTCCTCCCGGGAACCAAAAAACCCCAGCTATTTTCTGACCAAAATGTGTTTCATAACAGACCATCTGGTGCCTTTCCACTCAAAACTGGCAGGAGCCCACATGCCCGGCGAGCCGTCTCGCTGCTGATTGCCGTGGCAGTGCAAGTGTCTAAAGTCAGCTAACCCAGAGGGTGGAACAAAATCCAACTCCACGAGCAATGCACAGTTCTCTTTCCTATTGCCGCCACCCCGGCTTGGGCACACTGACAGCCATCTGCCCCCTGGAACCTCTCTTCCTGGTCTCTGACCCCGGGCACTGCCGGGAGCCCCATTTCCATCCGGTGGCGCCTCCCAGTGGCCTGGCCTGTGGGAGCGGTTGACAGCAGCCCCAGGGGAAGCAGAGTTTGGGAGAATCTGCTTCTGTTGAGTGGAGTGCGCAATGGCACACAGGCTGGGGACTTCTGGACCCGTCCCAGCTCCTCGGACCCAGCTCCCATGCTGACCTCCCAGGAGCCACCTCTGTGTTTGCTGTGAGGATGCAGAGATGGATGAGAACCTGGCCATCTTGGGCACGAGGGGGCCTAAAGAAAATGGCAGGTACACGCAGGACCTTCAGCCCAGTCTCCTGCCACTGCCGCCCACATGAGTGCAAGCACGTCTCATGCTTTACTCTGCCATGGTGTAAGGGAAGTCCTAATGAGGACAAAACCAAATAATAAACATTCTGTTTTAGAACTTCGGGCGGTGTTTGATGGGCTGGTGGGAGGGTGGTGCCCAGTGGCCACTGCCCTTTGCTGCTAGGTGGGAGCAAAAGTGACCACAGGCCTGGGCGGGCCAGCAAGCCTGCTACAGCACCACCCAAGGGAGGTTCGTGGGTTTAGCCTTGGTTTGTGGCCCAGTGGGGCCCTCCCAGAGGATGGGCGGGTATGCGATGAAGTCATTCCCGGAGGCCACATCTGTCAGCCAGTTAAGCAGCACTGAGCAGGCCGAACTCCGTGGGTCCCAGGGAGGATGTCACATTCTCCAGTGGATCCGTGACGCTTTTGCCTCCCGCCAGCTGTATGCAGGCAGGGCCCCCAGGCTGCGTGGCTCTTGGGGTTGGGGGCGTATGTTTCCCTGACTTGGGAGATCTTAGTCCAGCTCTAGTTCTGCAGTGGGGTTGGCCACATCTTTTCCTAGAGTCTCAGTTTTGTCACCTGTGACTAGGGTGTAGGTGAGTGTGATTGCCACGGTGATAAGGGGCATACTCAGATAGCCCCAAGGTGAACTCAGATCCGGAAGTGGTTTGGACCACATGCTGCCACTGCCTAGGCTGTTGCCCTTTGCGAAATGGTGGTGAATTCAAAGTTCAGTGCCCAGTTGAGTGAGCTTCCTGTGCTGCCTGGGGTGCAAGGGCACACAGCAAGCGGGCAGTCCTCATTCTGTGGGCTGCCACTGCCTCCTGGGAGCCCGGCCTTAAAGGAAGGCCTGGTGACCTCAGGCCACTGCCCATGGTTGCCCTGAACCTCAGAACGGCTGTACCGTGGGGGTCTCTTTGTCCCTTTCAAAGCCATATTTAAAGTGTCGGGAGCCCAGAGGAAGCTCTCTGATGTTGGCCACCAAGGACTCTGATCGTAGAAGGCTAAGAAATGTCTCCTTTCTTTTTCCTCCCTAATCTGAAGAGACACCCAACAAGTTTGCCTTTCGGTTTAAATTTGGCCGATGGCTTTGGTCTCTGGAAGTCACGCATCAGGAGCAAGAGCTGTTTCTCACTTTTGAGATGACTTTCAGCCTCACAGGTGGATGTCAAAATCTTGTCTCCCAAAGAAGTTTGAGCCTAGCCCTCCCCACTGCCCCCGGACTTTCCGGTAGCTCTGACCTGGGGCTCATTCGGCAGCCCAGCTTCCCTCCTTTGTACACGTCCCTCCAGAGTGCAACAGACATCCTGTTTGTTTACTAAGGAAATAACCCTTGGTCTTTGTCCTTCATGGCTAACATCAGCAAAACTAGTCCTCGAGGCTGGGTCCTGGTTGGCTGATCCCTGCCCCATTTTCTAGATTGGGCAACTTGAAGGTCCGAGTAGCTCAACCAGTTGACCAAAGTCTCACAGGAGGTGGGCCTGGGATTTGAATTTGGGTCTGTATGAACCACCGAGCCCCTCCTTGCAGAGCACAAGACAGGCAGTCCCAGCTGCCCACAACCCACTTTGCCCGAACAGCAGCTCCAGCCGTGGGCAGCCCCAGGAGCTGCCAGTTCAGGGCTCTGGACACAGGCAGCAGCTGGAGCAAACCTTTCCCACTCTTCCCAGGCCCTTCCCCTTCAGGGCTGCTACCCTGAACAGGCCCCATTGGAAAGCTCAGCAGGGCCACAGCTCATCCTCTTGGGCCCCCGTCCTACCCCCGCACCGTTGCCCAGCCTTCCGCTAGGTCCCTGAGTGCGCTTTGGAGACACTCCAGAAGGACTTCTGTGGAGTGGGTGAGGAGGCTGCAGCCTCACATTAGGCTGCTGCATGATAACTATGCTATGGGTAAGTGCTGTGAACCCATTTTCTAGACAAGCATACTGAGGCCACAGAGATGAGTATATGATCTCCCAGCCTCACAGAGCTGCCAAGCAGCAGACCTGGGATTCAGAGTCCCTGGGGGTGATCCTGCCCTTCTGCAGGCACATTTGGGGGCCACTGTGATCTCCCTGGGGGAGGAACTTCTGAGCCCTGCATAGAGAAACCTTCGCCAGCTAGCCCGCACAAGATTGCTAGATCAGACATGGGCTGTGTCCTAAGTCTTGTTGCCAGGCAGCAACTCCGTCCACACCTGCTGAGCCCGAGCATGGCCCACCTCCAGGTAGCTGAGGCGTAGCTGCCCTTGACTCCTGCATGGTCCAGAGGTGGTGGGTCATGGAGCCCTGGAAAGCTCTGGGCATGAGCTGGATTTGCACCATACCAGCAGCCTCCCAGGAGCGCAGAATGTTCCAGACGGGCCTTGAAGGAAGGGTGGAAAAGTTGGAGACCGCCTTGCTAGCCTGGCAGGTAGGTGAGGCCAAGGCCTGTGTCGGAGTCACGCCATGATTTCTGTGCCGAGCATGGTGCAGCATGGCATTCAGTCCACCACACAGTGCATCCAGCAGGGGAAGAACCTGCTGAAAGTTCCACTTGGCTTGTCACACCCTGGCTCGCCCTGGGCCTAGGTGCTGTGGGTCTCTTGCTCAAGCCAGCAACCTTGGTGGTGCCTGGTTTGGCAAAAGCATGTGGCCCGTGCCTTCGTCCTGACCAACAGTCTTGCTTTTTCAAAGCCAGAGCCCCATGTGTTAGTGCTAGCAGAGGCCGCAAAGATCTCCCAGCACCACTCTGTTAGGGTTGCTGTCCACAACACCCTGTCTGGTGGTCTGTCCACCTCGCAGAAGGAAGATGCCCTTTTCTGGGCTCTCTGGTAAGGTGTACATGGCCCACTGGGAAGTGAGAGCATACTGGGCCTGTGCAGTGGGTGTGAATTACACGAAGGTGTGAAGAGAACAGCAACTCTGTTTGGCAAGGCCACAAGGAGCTTCAAGCTGTATGGCAGGGTCTAGTGGATGTCTCTCCAACCATCTCAACACAGTCTCACCCCCTTCGCATGGACACTCAACCACCCCACTGATTTTGTAGTCTATTGAGGCATTGTTTGCACCTGTTAGATGGTTTTTGCAACCAAGGTGAGTCTGGGAGTTAATGTTGCTGATAATGTTTTGGGGAATAGGCCTTTAACAGTTTGCGCACAGGAGTACAATTAAGCCCATGCCATTTCTGGACACCGTATTGTATACCTACCCATTGCCCCAGAATCTGGCCCAGACATGTAGCATGCCTTCTGGAAATGGCTTGGTAAGTATCCTAAAAATTAATGGAAGCGATGGGAGTATGAGCTGAAACTGCTTTGGCAATAAATACTGTAACTGTGACCTTAAAGGTTAGCTTGTCCTTGCAACTCTTTGGAGCCTAGAAAATGTATCTGTTTTAGCTACTTTTATAATTTTTTGGCTAGAGGAATTATGGGGTGCTTTTATTAATATAGGAGATATGCTTTATGGGTTTGTAGAGCCTGCAGTTGTAGGAGGATTTAATATTTGAAACTTTTTGTCTTTGGCTCTTTATGTTTTTTTCCCTTTTGATGTATCTCTCCCATTAAGTGAGAAATAACTTGTAGAAATAGAAATGTAGTGGGAATGTATTACTAATTAGTAGGTAACTGCATGTGCTTTGGCCTTGGAGTCCTAATTGTCACCTAATGGCTACTACTAGAGAATAAAGACTTGCTTTAAAAAAAAAAAAACTGATTGTAGTAACTTATAGAATTATCTTTAAGAGCACCTGGTTGACCATGGAGTAAAAAATTAATTAATTGAGCATTTGTGCATGTCGGCTTAGTCCTGAAGTTAAAGATAGTAAAATCAAACATTTGTGCAGAGGCTTGTGATGTGTCTGAGTAAATAAAAAGGACAGCTTCTTGAGGTGCTGAGAGAGGACACCAAGTGACAGGGTCCACGTCTCTTCGCTGACCCCACACACCCTTCTCGAGCTCCAAGGCTGGAGCTGGCCTCCAGCAGGAGCGATTCCAGTGAGAAGAAGTGGGAAGAAGACCTCAGGGACACCCCAAGCATGTGGTGAGCATCCAGCCAGCAGACGCCTCTTCATCGTGTCTTCTCAAGCAGCTCGTGCAGCCGGCTCGGCTGCCTGGAAGAAGAGCAGAAATGCTGATTGTGTCTGAGCCCTGGGTTGGCCACTTGGCTGAGCAAATGGCTCAGTGCTCTGTGCCTCAGTTACCCCATCTGTGAAATGGGGTGGTGAAGCCCACACAGGGCTATGGTGAGGAATCACAGAGGTGTGCTAAGAACAGCTCCATGGCAGCTGTCTGCTGTTGAGGGCTGCAGAGGGGCTGGGAGGGGTGGAGGCAGCTCACCCAGGGTCGCAGACTCAGAAGGAGATGGTATGTTTCACAGGCTTACACCCCAATGCCACCCAGATACATACCCTGGTCCCTCCCCACCACAAAATTGTGCCCTTGGGAAAACTATAAGAGATGGTCTAAGCTGAAGACATTACACTCCTGCTGTTTCCAAAAGGAGGGGTTTAATCAGGAGAGGCGGCTCGCCCACCCACAGGGAGGGCTCAGAGGGTGGGGATGTCCCTGTGCGGCCCTGGGGGGGCCAACAAAGCTTTGTGCTACCTCCCACTGCTCCTGGCTGTCACAGACCACTGGCAGGCAGCAGCTGGATGATGGAGAAGAGTGGGTTGTGGGTTAAACACTCCCAGAGATGCAGGAGGGTATGTGGATGGGAAGGGGAATGGTGGCCACCCTCAAGAGAGAGGGGTATAAGACCCTGCGGACAGTGAGCACAAGACCCAGCTGCTGTTCCCTTGTGTGGCCAGTGCAGTGCTGGGCATTTGCAAGGTCAGCGGGGTGACCTGAGAAAGAAGTGACAGAGCAGAGATCTGTGTGCCCATGAGAGCCTGGCAAGTTCATTTCCGTCCATTGGCTGAGTCCCCAGCTAACAGTAACAAGAACCCGGCTCAGAGAGTGGACATTTGGGGTGGGGGACAGTAGGAGGAGGCAGGCATGGACCCTGCCCTCAGGCAGGTTGCTAATAGTGTGTGTATGGCCTCGGCCCAGAAGCAGTGGCGGTGAGTGAGGCGGTGGAGGACACAGCTACTCCATGTTGCAAGGGCAAGAGGGGGCCAGGGATGCCTGACCAGAGAGACCTGCAGGAAGGAGGGTGGCAGAGCAGCATGTTGGCTGAGCTGAGGATACTGCAGACAGCAGACGGGTGCAGAGCAGGAAAGCAGGCAGGCGTGCAGGAAGAGGAGGAAGGAAACTGGAGAAGGATCAGAGGGTGGGCCCAGGAGTGGTCCCCAGGCCTGAGCCAGGCTTCCCACCGGCTCTGAGTGAGTCTCTGGGGCATGAAGATGTGAAGGCTGTGTGTGAGAGTGCACTTAGAGCTCCAAGGCTCTAGCTTCGTCCAGGATCAGGCCGAAGAGGGAGCAGATGCTGGGCCTGGAGAGGGGCAGGCAGGAGCCTGGCCGGGGACAGACCCTTCCTCTCCATGTGGTTTCTGATGGCGGCATCATGGGCTCGTGGAAGAAGATGCCACAGGAGTCCAGCCAGCAGTTCCCACCTGTGGAGGTGTCCCTGTGGGTGGCAGTCTCCCCTCCCTCCCATCCCCACACCCCAGGCAGCAAGGCCCCAGAAAAAACAGGAGACTAGCATGTCTCAGATACTGCTATAGCACAGCGAATTTGTCAGTTCAGCTCATTACATTTAATTGGAATTATTTTTAATTTTTTTTTAATTTTTGATAAAATTTAGTTGGCACTGGGCTCTTCCCTTCCTCTCCCTCAAGTTCCTTCCCCTCCCCTCTGTTCTCCCCTCCAGGTTCACAATGTGAGTCCTTTGTGAATTCTCCCAAGTCCACTTGAGTTCTCCCAACTATGTGGAGACCACGTCATTTCTTTGTGGGTTCATTCTTGTATCCTGGGCCTTGATGTAGGTACAATGAGGATTACAGCTTCATTGTTTATGGACAGTACCAATAACAGTGATAAAGGGGACACTGACCATCTCAGGTGATTATAAACAATCAGCCTCTTATGGATGGTTGATTAATGAATTACATCACAAGTTCTTGTTACAGAAGGTACAGGTATGAGTGACAGAGTAAGATTCATACATAATATCTCTTTATTTGACATCATATTATCTCATACTAGAGCAAACATATATGATATTTGACTTTTTGGGATTGGCTCATTTCCCTTAGCATAATGGTCTCTACTTTGGTCCCTTTGGCCACAAAGTAATATATTCCATTTTTTTTTTAATCACCGAGTTGTATTCTGTAGTGTAGATGAACCACAGTTTCTTTATCCAGTCCTCAGTTGATGGGCATTTAGGTTGCTTCCATGTTTTTGTGATTGTTGATTGTGCTGCAATGAACATTGGGGTGCATGTTGCTTTGTTGTATAACAAGTCTTTTGGCTATATTCCTAGAAGTGGAATTGCTGGGTCATATGGTAGGTGAATTTTTAATTGCCTAAGTGTTCTCCATACTGACTGCCATTAATTAGAATCTTTAATAAAAGAGTAAAGCAGAAAGGAGGCCTAGAAGCAGAGGAGAGGAGAGCCATGCTGAGGCTGAGTGAGAAGTGAGTCCAGTTGGAGAGGGGGTGGTGGGGAGAGGTGGGGCTGCCAGGACACTGGTGGGGCCTTTGCCTGCAGGGTGGGACCACCAGGACTCCCATAAGCCTGGCCCTGGGAAGGGGCCTGGGCCAGCCTCCACCCAGCCTCTATGCCCTCTAGGCACTCTGTTCATGCAGGCAACAGAACCAAAGAAGCCTTCTTGGTGCCAGCCCAGCATGGGGCAGCTAACACAGCCTGGGGCAGAAAGGGCACCCAGGTAAGCAGGTGAGCAGGTGAGCA